GGCACGCATTAGCGGCAGCATATGGTACGGTGCGCGTAATTGAGCAGGAGTTGTGCGCGCCGCAAGTAGCGCGCTGGCCTGGGACAAGTCGATATGGCGTCGTGCGCAGCATACGTTGGTCGGGACGCGTCTAGGTCATTTTCGGGAATACCCGTACTTTGTCGCTCTCCTGGCCCAGGCCCACCAGTAGCAAGCCTGAGTTGTCCCAGACCGCACTTGTTTTGGGTCTTCAAGCTCATACCGGCTCGTGATGCTCCGGTGTAGGGCTCGAGAGCACTCCCGGAGGCCCGGGCCGAGCAATTGTGAGGGCTTTCCGGAGGTCATCATCGGCGCCACCGACCGTGATATGTCCCGACCCACAGCCCTCATGCGCATTAGGCGCATGGATGCAGTCATAGTATGTAGGCCTTCTCTCCCACAGTTTTGAGCAATAGCCGCAAACAACGCTTTTTGGCACTTGCATCTCTCTCTCGTGTGAACACGCACACCCCATGCCGACGAAGCGGCTTCCCAGCTCGCCAGCTCGCCTTCTCTGTCGCTCTCCTGGCCCAGACCCATCAGGATCAAGCCTGGGCTGTCCCAGACCGTCCTTACTTTGGGTGATGAAGCTCACTCTGGCTCATACCACGGCTCTTGCAGCCTCACACACGCCTGTTTCACCCACAGACACCGCCGGCACGCACTCCCAGTTCACACATGCTCAAGCACAGCCCCACCAAAGCACAGCCCTGCTCAGAATGGTCATGGACCACCACTTGGCAGCCGTGGAAGCCCCACATCCGCTGCTTTTCTCGGCTCCTCTCAATGCGTGTCGGGCACCGCCACGACAGCACGCCGACGGCAAGCTTTTGAGATCCATCTGGTGGACCTGCTGTGGCCACAGCCGCCCCTCACATGAAGCTCGCACCAGGGCTCGACACCGGGCCCTCTCATCCCGGTCGTGGCGGCGTGTGTGAAGGATGCGCGGCCGAGCCGCTGGCTGGCGCCGCTTGAACGTCCGAGATGGCCGCAGCACAGGCCATTGCTCAAACAATCGGCCGGTGCGTCGTTCGGCCCACGGCGATGGGCCTGGTCGATTTCAGCCGACGGGATGGCAGCAGGGCCGCGTGCGGGGCCTGCGCTTGGATTGCCCCGTCGGGCGCAGGCTTTATTAGAGACCCCGAAGGCGAAGCATTGGCAAAAACTGCTCTCATGGCCCTCTATTTCCGGGGTCAGATATTTGGGTCTCGATATCGGATGCGGTGCAGTGCGGACTGGTGGCCCGAGGCGCCGACCCTGAGCAAAGGTGCGACTGCGTCTCGGTCGTGCGCCCCACTGTGCCATTCTTTCGAGGGGGCTGAGGCGCTGTGTGTATCGCGCGCGCCTTGTTTCATGAAGTATGTTGAATGTATCGACGATCGAGATAGATCGGAAGGGAAAACAACAGATCCGACCAATGACTGGGACACCCGCGGTATGGGTGGACGCAAGACGGTAGACGGGCGGTGACGGTCACACGGGAGCGGCACACAGATCCACAAGACAAGACACTCAGCCAACGGGGCTGCCACACATCCTGAGCTTCCCTCGTCACCCTATCGGGAGGTGAAACGTGCATACCGCGTGCGCTGCCATGCGGATGTCGATTTCTTCTCTACATGAGCGCCCAGCGAGCGAGTTCTTTACCAGGTTGCAACCCTTGTTCCGCACTGTGCTGTGAACAGAGCACCAACCAACAGCTCTCAGGACCCCCCGGTGCTGGGGTGCTGCCAGCAACCAACCAAGTCGAGCGGAGCAGCGTCGTTCCGATGTTTCGGCGGGCACTTCTCACCTAAGTCCTTGTGGCGGGCCGCCAGGCCCGGAAGCAGATGCCGACGAGGATCAGACACGGCGCGCTATCTGGGCTCGGAGGTCGGCAAAAAGGTTGCGCAACCGACACCAGCGACCAGGATCGTCGATCGAGGTAGGTGCACGCTGCTGAAGCAGTGCACCTACATAGTGCGGGACCTGGGGCAGCAACCAACAACCTGGATGGGGACGGGGTGCTGCTCAACCGGCGGCAAACAGCAGCGTTCACAGCGGAACAAGGGTTGCAACTTGGTACCGTAAGGTGCCGAACTTAAGGTAAGGTAGCTTGAGTTAGGGAGCCCTTTTCCTCTTACCGAACTCCTGTTCTAATGTGCCTAACTCCTGCTACCCACCTCTCGGTCCAGCCGGACCGGCACATACGGGCCCCGCGGCCCGCACCACTGAGGCATCTCCCTCCTACGCTGCGAACACCTTCGCTCAAGTACACGAGTGCCTACGCTACTAGATTCCCTACTCCTCCTCCTCCTCCTCCTCTTCCTCCTCCCCCTCCCGCCTCCTCCTCCTCCTCACTCGCCGCACCCTCGTCGTCCGAGTCGGCGCCGGCCGTCGGACCAAAAAAGAAATCCCGGGGACCTAACTGCTGCTACCCGGTGCCTAACTCAGTGCAAAGCACCTAACCTAACTCAAGCTACCTTACCTTAAGTTCGGCACCTTGCGGTAAAGAACTCGCTCGCGGCCATCTCACCTCACACCTCCCTCGATGAAGTCGCTCTTGCTCTCACCGAGCCACGTGCTCGCGACGCCACGCGGCTGGACGAGCCTCTCGCCCGACGCGTTTCCGCCCTCTGCCCGCTACGGCGAAATTCACTGCGTCGGTGCCGGGTCGCTGCTTCTCTGGTTAATGCTAAAGGCTGGATGCGCCCCGCGCTCGACGCTCATCGTCTGTCACGGCCCGCTCGTGTTGCCGACGCCTTCGTCATGTGCGGCCTGGCTTCGGTCCGACGGCCGCGACGCCAGCCCGGCCGACGATTTCGAGTGGCGGAGGCAGGCGATTGCACTCGGCGCGGGCGGGGCCCTGCGCAGCCGGCCGTGGCTGGAGCCGTTGCTGCGCACCGTCGCCACCGGCCAGGCAACGGTCCTCGCGGACGACCTTCGCTCGCTTCAGTCGCGGTGGGAGCGGTCGGGCCGGCTGGTCCACCTGCCTCTGCACGAGGCAGGGGGTGAGGTAGGCGACACCTCCTGGGACCTCCAGCAGCGGCAGCAGCAGATGGAGTTTATGCCGACGACGGCGCCGCTCCTGCCGCGAGACCGGCTCCATCCCGACGCGATCGTGCGCTGCGCCGAGGACGAGTGCGATTGGCTCCTGCCTGTGCCCTGGAGCCAATGAACACTTGGGAGAAGCTGTAGCCGAACCGCGAGTCCCCCCAGACCCACGATGATCCGTGTGCATGTTTGACCGTCTGTATAGCGTCTCTCTTCCCGAGACCCGCTCCTATTACCAAAAGCTGGCTCAGCCGCCTCCCGGCGCGGACACGCAACGGCTGTTTAGCAGCGAGCACCTGCCTGCCCTTTCGCTAGTACGCCGCGCGGTGCGCGAAAAGTCAAAAGAAACCAAGTCCGCGCTGTGGGCTGTGTTTGGGTTTCTATGTTTGCATGATGACCAACCGCGAGCGTCCCACTGAGGCTCCCAGGATCTTCGTCATCACACGCATGCCGCTCGGAGCGTATGGCGAACGGATTTCCCCAAGGGCTCTTGCGTCTTGGGGTGTGTGATAGAGCGAGCTTAATTCCGTTTTAAAATTCTTTTTCTTTTTTGTTAGTGCCAGTACGCGCCAGTCCCGTGCCCAGTGTTGCGCGTGGGAGTCGTCCTAAAATTCTTTTTCTGCCTGTGATAGTACTAGCACGTAGCTTTGAATTCTTTTAAAGGGCACAGTCATGGACGGCATTTTTACGGCATCGACGACCCACAGATGTGTCCGACCCTCTACGCGCTCTCAGCATCGCTCCGCAGCCTCAGACTGCGCGGCGGCGTGATCGGCGTCGCCAACGCGCCGCCCGTCGTCGAAGCGCTGCGAATAAGCGGCTGCGCGGCCACGCACCGCGCCGGCGCCGTCAGCGAGGCGGAGAACCAGTCGCTCGGTCAATGCGGCGAGGTGCTCGCGCTCGACGCGTCTGCTGCCGGCGCGGCGCGTCCGCTCGGAGCGTGGCCCGCCGCGTCCACGCCCGCCCTGGCGCACCCTGGCCTCGCCACCGCCGCTGCGATAGCCCGCTCGTACGGCGCGAGACTCTCGATCGACACGTCGCTCAGCGCGGCGCCGCTGCGCCACATCGGCGGCTACTTTAGCGGGCCGCGCGGGACGCTCGCCATCGCGGTCGACTCGAGCTGGGCGGAGGCCGTGCACGAGCTCACACACGCGCCTGATTTAATAATGACTGTTAGTTACTGTTTAATTATTAATTAGGCCGTGCACGAGCTCACACACGCGGCGTTCGAGGCGACTTCCGAGACGCTTGCGAGACGCTTTCGAGATGCGTCTCCGCGGCCCTTGCCCTACCAACTTGTGCGGTGTGTGCGTGCGTGCGTGCGTGCGTGTGTGTGTGTGTGTGTGTATGTGCGTGCGTGTGTGTGGAGAAGTCTACCTGGCCTGTCCTTACCTGACCTGACCTCACCCTGACCCCCAGGCGCGCGTCCACAGACCAACCAGCGGCGCGGGCTCCAGCTCCGCCACGGCCGCACGCACCGGCACCGCCGCCGACGTCTCCGCCGAGCCATTGCACACGCACTGGTGGGGCGCGGTAGTCGCGCGGGGCTGCCTCGGCAGGGCAGAGCTTCACAGAGGTTGTGGCGAGCGTAGGAGGGCGTGGCAGTCGCGCGGGCTGGACGCGGAGGCGGCGGAGGCGCGGCTCTCTGCGGCGAGACTCTCCTCTCTCTCTCTCTCTCTCTCTCTCTCTCTCTCTCTCTCTCTCTCTCTCTCTCTCTCTCTCTCTCTCTCTCTCTCTCTCTCTCTCTCTCTCTCTCTCTCTCTCTCTCTCTCTCTCTCTCTCTCTCTCTCTCCCCCTTACTCTCTCCCTCTGCGGCGAGCCACACCCGAGATGAGATGAGATTCCGCCCGAGACAGGAGCACGCCTGCCTAACTAACATATTCCGAGGCTAGGAGCTCGTCTGCCTAATTAATATATTAGGCAGAACAATAACTGACATATTCCGAGGCTAGGAGCTCGTCTGCCGCGAGCACGAGCTACACGCCTTGCGTGCGCCCGCCGCAGGCTCGGGTGTAGATGCCTAGGTAGGTGCTGGAGCAACTCCCTGCGTTCCAGCTAGCGCCTCAAGACGACCAGTCCCCCCTCTGGGCTAGAGCTGTCTTGCAGCTGCACCCCTGTGCTCGCTGCCTTCGCTCTCCCGCGGTGCTCGGGACGCGCCGCCGCGTGAAGTGGCGCGTGTGTGCCGCGCACTAAGGCTCGGCGCTGCAGCGTGCCATCGCTTCCGTGCTCGTCCTCGAGTCCGCCCTCACGCAGGCACGCACAAGCACACACACACGCACACACGCACACATGCACACACACGCACGCGCGCACACACACACACACACACACACACACACACACACACACACACACACACACACACACACACACACACACACACCGCTCACACACCTAGCACTGGGCTTTGCACGTGTTCAATGCCGTGGGGCTCCTGTCGTCTAGACGTGGAGTCGCGAGAGTCGGCCTGCCCCTTGCCCCACCACCTCGGGTGTGCGGAGAGGGTTTGCCTTCCCTGACCTCACTCACCTCACGCAGGCGGTCCAGTCGCTCGAGGCGGCGCCGGCGGCGGCGCGGTCGGCGGCGCTCACGCGCGAGCTGGGCGGAGGCACGGAAACGCGAAACGTCGCACCAGAGGAATGTGTGGGCAGGCGCACACGCGCGAGCTGCGGCGGATGCGCGCCGTCCTGCTGCTCATCGGGGGGCGCGCGCGCCTCGTCTACCTCGCCGCCGCCGCCGTGGCGGCCACGGCGTCGCTCAGCGCGCTGCTGCGCTCGGTTGGACTCGGCCCGCGGGCCGGCCCTGCTGGTGACAGCCCCGCTGGCTGAGCACATGTCTAAGTCTCGCGAGTACCTCCACGGCGGCCAGGCCAGGCGCAACCTCGGGGATGTGAAAAAAAACGCAGATGTGCGACATCCCAAGCTCGGGTTGAAAGAAAGACAGAAAACGGACATCCCAAGCTAGGGCTGCCGGCTGGGTGTCGAGAGGTCGCGAGGACAGACTTACACACGTCCGCACCTTTCGCAGGATTTTCGCAAAAGCGAGCGGGAGGGGTCGGTGTCGCATCGCGGCGCGGCAGCGGCGCGGATAGGCAGCTGGGCACAGGCTGCAGGCCGCAGGGGATCTATCTCGGCAAATCTCGGCGGATCCCTCGCTCTCGGGGACTCGGGCACTTATTCATCTGACCACCTCATCTGAGGGCTGCTACGCGATCGGCCGCGCTCGGGTGTGCGGAAGACTAGCGAGGTCGCGCGTAGCTGGGGAGTAAAGAAAGAAAAAGAATTCAACAAAACTCCCTCGCACAACACTGGGCACGGGACTGGCGCGAAAAAGAAAGAAAACCGAGAGAGCTCAGAGATTTTTAAAACCGACAACTTTTGAGCGACAACCCAAGCAAGGGAGGGATGGGAGGACGGCACGCCGCCACCACACAGGGATTTTAAGGAGAGGGGTGTGATGCGGTAGCTGGGGAGTAAAGAAACAAAAAGGGGAGTGTGTTTCGACGCCCATCGGGAATTATTTTTTGAGCAACAAAACGGCGCTTTGCTTTGCAGCGCGGAAAAAGGACGTGAACGGGGGCTCAATGCTGACCGAGACCCGGCCCGGCCGTCCGGTCGTCATATCCCGCGGCCGCACACGCGCGCGACCCATCGTGATCACGCTGCTCGCCGCCGCCCTCGGCACCGTTTTGTTCTCTGCAGCGGCGAGACCGCGGCCGGCCGACGCCAACATTGACCCGAAAATTGCCGCCTTGCTCTCACCCAAGCCGCCCGACGCCAACCAGAACCCACACGCCAACTACATCGCCCCAGACGCCAACTACGTTGACGTTGACCCCGACGCACCACCCGTGGAAAAGGGCGAGGTCTACTGGCCGCTCACCGGCGGAGAAGGCGAGTTGGTGGCGGAGGAGAAGACGCGCGAGCGGGGCATCTTTGGCGGCGGCGGCCTCTTCGGCGGCGGCGGCACAAACGGCCAGTGCTCCTCGGAGGCGTACGCGTTTTGCTGCGGTGTCGGGACGACTTGCGTGTGCGGCAAGGGCATGAGCACCCCCGGCCAGTGTGGCAAGGCGGCGTGGCTGTACTGCTGCGACGTGGGCACGCCGTGCTACTGCTCGCTGCCCGGCAAGAAGGTCCTCGAGCAGCAGGAGGACCGGCGGCGCGAGGAGGAGGAGGAGCGCCGGCGGCAAGAGGAGCGGGAGCGCCGTCGGCAGGAGGAGTGGGAGAGGAACCACCGGCGCCCTTGGACGTCGGGCGGATACGGCGGAGGCGGCGGCGGCTACACCGGCGGAGGCGGCGGCTACGGCTACCCTCAGGGCGGCGGCGGCGGCTACGGCGGCGGCGGCGGCGGCTACGGCGGCGGCGGCTACGGCGGCGGCGGCGGCTACGGAGGGCCCCTCCTAGGAGGGCGCTAGTTGGCAACGAGGCCACGTGTGCATGGTCTGGTGACGTCGGCCGTGCCTGGCCCCGGCTAGATCTCTTCTGCGCCCTAGTGATGGCGACTGGAGGGCCTGGCAAGGTGTATTATTCTGTGTGTCCTTTGGTGCTTGCTACGCTGTGTTGGCAGGTGAGCTCGGGTGACGTGGTTTGTGCAAGCAAGTGTGTGAGCGGTCGTGGTCCGGGGCGGGGGGCGGGGCCGGGGGGGTTGTCCTACACGGCCGCTTCCTATCGCGAGCGTTGTGGGAAACCGCGCTGGCCCCCGTGATGCTCAAAGGGGACATCAATCGGCTCAATAAAGAAAAAAGCCCGCGGATCGCTCGCGCGGCTCGGGACGTACTATTTGCCCCCCCCCCCCCCCCCCCCCGCCCTCCGTGACCATGTGGCAATCCCAAGTCGCACTCTCAAACTCACGACGACAACTCCCCTTCCTCGGCATGGGACTCGTCGTACAGAGCGCGGCGCGCGCGGTCATCCTCGACCGTCGGAGGCATCGTGCCGGCCCGCTTGAGCGGGCCGCCGCCGCTGATTCTCGCAGAGCTGCCCGCCGAGCCGCGGCCATGGAGCGGGTTGTGGGTCACCGAAGAGGCGCGCGGTGCCGCGCGTTGTTGCTTTTGCCGCAGCGCGACGGTGTCCCACTTGCGCAGCCGCGCTCCCGCCTCGAGCACTGCGGGCGCCTCTGTCGCCGCCGGCCTCGAGGAGCTGTTCATAGAGGGCCGGCGGCGGCGCGCGTGCGGCTTCATGCAAGGCGAGGAGCCGCCGCCGGGTGTCGGCAGGGGGTCGAACAGCTGCTCGTCGGACTCGAGCGAGCCCTGCACCTGGCGGCAGAGCTGCGCAAAGGTGACGCGGCCGGCCTAAGAGAGGGAGCTGCGAGTGAAGAAACGAGGGCTGTGGGCTGCAGAGGTCGACGCGGCCGGCCTCGGAGGAGCAGCCCGCGATGCGGCGCAGGACGGCGTTGCCCCCGAGAGCGCGCATCGCCTCGAGAGCGTCCCTCGCGGAGACGGTGGCGAGGCCGTCCTCCGGCGCCGCGCGCTCCTCGAAGAAGGAGCGGAGCGCGAGGATCAGCGGCACCGCCGAGCCGTGGTCCGCCGGCCCCTCCCCCGTGTGCCAGTACACCATGTTGCCCGCGCCGAGCCGCCACGCGCGCAGCCCCGCGGCAGAGGCGCCCTCGGTCGCACCGCCGGTCGAGTCCGAAGCCTGGCGCGTCACGGGCGGCGTGCCCACCGGCGATATGGACCCGGGTCGCGCCATGATGGCCACCCTCGGCTGGCACAGGTCAAAGGCGACGGTTCGCGGCCGCTCGGACGGGTCGTGCCTCCGGTGGGGCGGGATGAGGGAGGCGACGGAGGCGGCGACAAACTCTGCGGGCGCGTCGGCGAAGTGCGGCTGCAGGGCGTGCTGGTGGCAGCCGCTCTCGACCAGGCAAGTTCGGACGCCGGCGAGGGAGCCCGCTCTGACGTCCGTGTCGAACCGGTCGCCCACGATGAGGACGCGGGAGCGGTCGCCTACTCCACACGACGGTCTCTTCCTGACTCCAGCTTTTCCGGTCGTGCTGCCCGCGCGAGGGGCACGCGGGAGCGGGCTCCTCCCCATCCCTGCTGGCGGAGCATGCCGAGTGCGTGCTCGACCATGTACTGGTTGCCTGAGTGAAAAAGACAAGGCCGTGAACCAACCAACAGGACGAGCGCGCTCCCCCGACCACATGGTGTGCTCGCTGCCCTGCCCGCCGCCCTTGCCGCAGACGTGGATGCGATCTCCGCCGCTCGGGTGGAGGAGCGCGCGGAACATTGCGCAAAACATGCCCGGGCCGGGGAGGGGCATGTTGTCGGTGGACGGGTTGAAGGCGTCCTCTGCGGTGGCGATCAGGTGGGCGCCGTGAGACAGCAGAAAGGACGTCTTCTTGATCACGTCGTACGACCAGTCGGCGAAGCCCGCCTCGCCGGTGCGCGGGTCCGTCATCGCCGAGATGGAGCCGTCAGAGAAGAGGACGACGTAGACAGGCCGGCCTGCCGCCGCCGCCGCCGCCCACTCACGCGCGGTGCCTGCGGCGAGAGGAGCCGAGATGAGCCGAGATGAGCCGAGATGAGCCGCCGCCGCCCACTCTTGGTGCCGTCGTCGAGCGTGGTCCGGATGTACCACGACGAGAAGAGCTGCGGCACCAGCGCCTGCAGCCGAGACGAGCCGAGGTCACAGCCGAGATGAGCCGAGATGAGCCGAGATGAGCCGAGATTGGCTGTGGGATTGGTCGAGACGAGAAGAGCGGTTGGTGCCAGCGCCTGCAGCCGCGCCCGCCAGAACGCGTCGCCGCGGTTGCCGCCGGCGATCACGAAACCGCGCGCCGCCGGCGGCAGCGTGTCAGCAAGGAAGCGGCACTGCGCCTGCGTTGCCGTCCAGATGTGCCGCTCCTGGCTGCCCGGGCCGAGGATGATACCGTTCCGCGAGAGCTTGGCGCGAACTCCGTCCGCGCCCTTGGCGCCCGTGTTGCTCAGGAAGACGTGCGGCTTGTGGCGCAGGACCGCGGCGTAGAACTCCGCCGCGCCCTCGATTGGCCCGGTCGGCGAGTAGATGGTTCCGTCGAGGTCGATGAGGTACGCCTCGATGTCGCCGAGCGGCCAAGGGTCCGCGCTATCGTCGACATATACGTGGCTGCCGACACGCGCCGCGCCCGCATCAGCCGTCGCGCTCGCTGCGGCCGCACTGCCTCCTTCTCGCCCTTCTTGTGCATCAGCCGTCGCGCTCGCTGTGCCGCCTCCCGCTTTCGAGCTTCCCGAGCCGACGATGAATTGCAGCATGCGCGCCAGGATGGCCGCGGCGAGGAGAGTGAATGTGGCAGCCCGCGCCAAGTTCACAACCGAGTCCGAAGAGGCTGGCAGCAATGAGGCGTGCATCGCTCCACCCAGCAGGAGATGGAGCCACGCGAAGAAGAAATTGCGATGCAGCTGGCCGCCACCACACCGGGGGAGTCGGAGAGAGGAGTGTTATGCGAGCTGGCCCGAATTCTTTCAACAGCTGCCCAGTCCGCAGGCTGGGCTGAGGCCGGAGCCCCGGGAGCAGGCCGACGACCCTGACGTGGCCCGCCCACCCACGCGTCGATGCGAGGCACGTTCGAGGACGAGCCCGCGCCGGAGATCGGGCCCGGCTGGGTGCGGCGCACGAAGCATCGGCCAAAGGGGCAGAGCGGCAAGCGCTTTGACCGCTACTTCCTCTCGCCAGAGCGGCACGGCCAGCGTCGGCAGTTCCGCTCGCTCGTGGCGGCGCAGGCGTACCACGCCGGCAAGCTAGACGAGCTGGACGCGGTGTGCGAGGCGTGCGGCTCGGGCGTCGACGAGCCGGGCAACGACATCCTGCTCTGCGACGGCTGCAACGCGGCGCACCACATGGCATGCCTCCCGGTGCCGCTCAAGGCGGTGCCCGAGGGAGAGTGGCTCTGCCCCGCGTGCAAAGGCGGCCCGGTGGGCGCGCGACCACCCAAGGTCCGGCCGGGCACGATCATCGTCCAGAAAGCAGCAGCTAGCCCCCGCGCGGTCACGGCGGCCCGGCACTCGCCCGGTCAGCGGACACTTCCGAGACACTCTTCCCGCTCTACCCCGGCCAGCGACACGTCCGCGACACGTCCGCGACACGTCCGCGACAGGTCTCGACCCGGAGTTCGACCCGGCAGTGCTGCGGCCCGCGCTGGTGCCTCCACCGCCGCCTCTCACTCCTCCTCTCACTCCTCCTCCTCTCACTCCTCCTCCTCTCACTCCTCCTCCTCTCACCCCTCCTCCTCTCACTCCTCCTCCTCTCACCCCTCCTCCTCTCACTCCTCCTCCTCCTCTCACCCCTCCTCTCACTCCTCCTCCTCTCACTCCTCCTCCTCTCACTCCTCCTCCTCTCACCCTTCCTCCTCTCACTCCTCCTCCTCTCACTCCTCCCCCTCTCACTCCTCCCCCTCTCACTCCTCCTCCTCTCACTCCTCCTCCTCTCACTCCTCCTCCTCTCACTCCTCCTCCTCTCACTCCTCCCCCTCTCACTCCTCCCCCTCTCACTCCTCCTCCTCTCACTCCTCCTCCTCTCACTCCTCCTCCTCTCACCCCTCCTCCTCTCACTCCTCCTCTCACTCCTCCTCCTCCTCTCACCCCTCCTCTCACTCCTCCTCTCACTCCTCCTCCTCTCACTCCTCCTCCTCTCACTCCTCCTCCTCTCACTCCTCCTCCTCTCACTCCTCCTCCTCTCACTCCTCCTCCTCTCACTCCTCCCTGCGGCCTCTCCCGCCCGCTGCCGCGGCCCTCCTCCCCGCCGCCCCTCTCTCCTCCCCTTCCATGCTTCCGCTGCCCCCAGGTGCTCCCGGCGAGGCTGCGGCCGGCCTGCGTCGTGCTCGGCTGCCCCGGCGAGGGCATCGCCCAGCTGCAGGAGCCCTCTTCCAGAGCAGAGAAGAAGCAGCGCGGGGAGGAGTGCACGCCGCTGGAGTCAGCCGCCTGCTGCTCGGGCAGGGTGTGCCTTCGCCTCCTCTCCTCCCCTCACCTCGACCCCTCCCTCCATGCCGCAGGAGCTCATGCTCGCCTGCGACGTCTGCGGGCAGGCTTGGCAGTGCTCTTGGTGGTACCGCCACCTCACTGACAGCGGCGAGGCCGCCTCCGCGTCAGCGGCAGTGTCGAAGGCGCCCGCGCCGGCGCGGAGTCTGCCCAAGCCCTCCGATCCTCTGCCGCCGCGCAGGCCGCCGCGCGTAGATGCTGCAGACAGGTCCATGCAGACAGGTCCATGCAGACAGGTCCATGCAGACAGGTCCATGCAGACAGGTCCATGCAGACCTGCCTCCATGCACCGGTCCGTGGAGACCTGCCTCCATACACCGGTCCGTGGAGACCTGTCTCCCGGCGGCTGGCCCTCGAAGGGGCGCACAAGGGGCGCGCTGGAGCGACACACACACGCCACACAAGGCGCGACCCTCGTTCGGGCACTGGGTGGGCTGGGCATGGCGGCCGATGACATAGGAGTCCCATCTCCCGGCGGGAGATTGCGGGGGGGCGCGGCCTGAGCTTGGAGTGTGCATGGCTCAGGCCGCCGCCGCGTGAACGAGCGCCGGCGGCCGGCTCTGCGCCCGCAGCATCGCTTCCCGGCTCGAGCCTCGACGAGGCGGATCGAGCGGCTGCACGTCCGCGGTTTAGATGCGGGAGGAGGAGCCGATTCGGTGTCGCATTCGGGAGGGCACGGAGCGAGCTGCGTTGAGCTGTGACGCGGCTGTACGCGGCTGCACTCCGCTGTATGCGGCTGCACTCGTAGCCCTCGCTCTGATGCGATGCTCTGGAGTGCACCGTCTCACTCCCACGCCTCCCTGTCCATGACCAGGCCTTGCCCCAGCCTCCGGCTCGGCCCCCGCCGCCTCCAGCAGCAGCCGCGACGGCAGAGAGACGGGCCGCGGTGGCAGCGGCGGGGATGGCAGCGGTGCCTGCGCCGCCGCCACGCCCCCCGCTCCAGCCGCCGCCGCTCCCGCCGCGCCCGCCGCCGCAGCTGCCGCAGCTGCCGCCGCCGCTGCAACTGCCGCCGCTGCAACTGCCGCCGCCGCTGCCGCCGCCGCGCCCGCGCCAGCGCTGCCCGCGGCGTCCGAGACGAGGGCGATGAGGCCGCGAGGCGCCGCCACGCACCCCCCTCTCCCCTCGCCCTCGGCCCTCCCCCCCCCTCCCCT